GGACCCCCCCCAGTCCCTCTCCCCGTCAAGCTAATGCCCCAGTTCCCCCCCATTGTACCGATGGCTTCACCTGTGTGCTAATAATATATTTTTTAATTCCCTCCCCCTTTTTTTTGATTTGTTTTTAATAATTTTTGAGTTTCCGTGTCTCCCTGAGGCATGCTGGGTGCAGGGCAGCCCCGGGGGGTGTCGGGCCAGCCCAGTGGTCCTGTCCCTGTGCCACGGCCGGTTTTGGGGTCTGCACAGCAAAGCTACAAACACGCCCGCGCAAAGTGGAAGAGGGAACGAAACGGCGTTAGTCTGCACGCAGTACCCTGCTAACGTCTCACTGAAAGCTTTTGGCAAAGAGCACAGCTTCTCCAGGCGGGATGGCAGAGAGCAAGGGGCCGTCTGGGGTGAGGATCACAGGATGGTTTAGGCTGGAAGGGACCTTCAAGACCATCCAGTCCCAATCCGCCTGCCATGGGCAGGGACACCTTCCACTACACCAGGTTGCTCAAAGCCTCATCCAACCTGGCCTTGAACACTTCCAGGGATGGGGCAGCCACAGCTTCTCTGGGCAACCTGGGATGGCTGGAGGGGACAGAAAATCCCACGTCTGTCTTTGCTCTCTGTCCAGGGGCTGGATGGTAACGGAGATGAGATGTCGTCAGGGCCAGAGGTCCAGCCAGGTTGAGCTTATTTTTATGGAGAAGTACTCATCTTCAGTCTTGCTACTTATTCCAGGCCTTATTGCCGTTAAACAGTACTAAAATCTTTCCTCGTTTTCTAAGTAATTAGGTCTTGCGAGTAGTCCTCTCTCTGTTGCTGTTGTTCAGCCCTTGGAGCATTCATAGATACTTCAAAACACCCTTTTTTCTCATGTTTTTCCTCAGCATTCCCTGTTTTCAGCCTTTTCCAAATTCGGGCTGCTCTACTCCGTGCGAGCACATAGGAATGCTGCCGTGGCAGGGCCTGGATATTACGCCGTCATCAAGTTTTATTCAGCTGGAGATGCCAGCAGAGCCCAGCGCGCGTGCAACGGGCAAAGGCTGTTTCAGAAACGCCCCTTGAAGGTAAGAGGAACGGCCCCAGGTGTGAAACCTGCAGGACTCAGCACGATGACCTCCAGCAGCGGAGTAGAATCACATTAAATACTTGTTAATCTCAGTGATGCTTTCTGTGCAAAAAGTTTCCTAACTTGTGGCTGACTGCTACCACCGTGGTGACATCCCCCACCGCTGGCTCCCAGGTAGCATTTAAGCAGGAAAATGGCAGCATCCCTCTGGAATAATTTGCAGGGCCTGTTTCTGGGTACAAAATATTGAACACCTCTCAGAAGCACGCATCTGTAACCAATAGGTTACATTCCTGGAGCTATCAGTGGCATGTCTGTAGTGGGAACCTTCTAAGTGAAGCCTGGCTAACCAGGGTTCTTCTCTCCTGGACAGGTTTGTGTTTGCACCAAGCAGAAGGGGTTTCAGCAACAAGTCCTTGCTCTCAACAGCAACAAGTGCCAGGAGTTGGCCAACCACTACCTTGGCTTTAACGGCTGGTCCAGTCGCATCATCACAGTAAGGGACCTTTTTTGTTCATCTGTCATCCTTCTCATCCTCTTCTTAATGAGAGTGGTCAGTGAAATAAGAAGAATTGTCCTCAAATCAGCAAATCATAGCTACAGGAGCTGTGTTTTGGACTACAAATGGGGATATTCTGAAAGCCTGGGGAGAGGACTGACTGGTCATAACATCCCCTTCCTATTTAATCAAAATTAATGATCTGTGGTCTTTCCAATAGCTGCAGAACGTATCTGGCTTTGATGGTGAGAATGAGGAACTGGGAAGGACGTTAGAGAAGCGATCTGTGAAATACCTGTGTGCTGTAGAGCTGATGCTGCCCAACCATGGGGTACGCACCAGGGGTGTTGCCCTTGGTGAGGCAGACACAGAAAACGGTGAAGGTACGTTTTGGGTGCAGCTGGAAGTGTCTCAGCAGCTGTCGCAGGCACTGGTCAGTCTTGCTTTTGCACGGTTTATGGGTTTGATAAAGTGTCTGAGTTTAGCTGGAGACAAGGATCTGTGCAGGGCCTTCTGAGCTGCTGTGCTATGCAGCAAGGGATCCTGAGCATGCCTCTTTCCTCCCCACTTCACACCAGTATCGCTTTCCTACCCTCTGTTCTCTCGCCTGCAGCGTCATTCATTCCCCATCACAGCCACTTCTGGTGTGAACACACCATGTGATGGCATCTGTGGCACAGCTCAGGTGCCAGCGGGCTTCTCCACTGCCCGCTGCCCTGGGCACAGCCCTGACACAGGGCTAAGGATCGCGTGCTGCTGTGGGTAGGCACACAAAGCCCCTGTGAGGGTGCTGCCATGCTTCCAGCGACCCCCGAAACATAAGCAGCTTTCTTACCAGATCCTTAAGGCTGTGTTCAGTTACATTTCCTAGCACGATGCAGCTGATGTGCTTTATGTGCCGAGCATCATCTTAACATGCTGCTTGTTGCGTTCAGATCCTCTCGAGTTTGTCACGGCCTCAAGAAGAGCTCAGAAACTCGCAGTCGGGAAGGCTTTGTCTGGCGCCTTTCAGAGGATACTCCTTGTAGTCTTAGGTAAGGCCTATTTTTGTATTGAACACTGGGGAGTTTGGGCTAATCACTTAACTTTCATGATAATTGATATGGATTCGTTATCTCTCGACCTTTCTTGGGATTCATGGAGGCTTGGGGAGGTCTCGAGCAAAATTAAACTTGTTTTGTGGTCTGTAGTGATTTAACAGAATGAATGGTTTTCACCCTGTGAGCTATGTGTGAGTGAAAGGAAAATCCAATAGGAGGTCAGTATTTTTATGATAAATAAATCATTAAAACTCAAAATTCTGAGAGTGTAAACACCGACAGGGAAAGCTTTTTAACACTATGTGTGCATGCGAATAGGGAAGTTCTGATTCCAGGGGGAACATGAATTGAATTGCAGCACTTTGCACAGTTCTGTCCTGGTTCCAAGCCAACCAGGTGCCATCAAAGGTCTGTGCCCCACTGTCGTGTTCAGTGTTCCATCTTTGGGGCTACTATCTCCTTTGAGGTTTTAATCATAGAAGCTGGCTCTGTGCCTATCCAGGCACTGCTAGATCTGCTTTCTCTGGGTTCCAGGTCACGTTCCTCCCCTGGATTCTTTAAGGTGTTCTTTTGAAAGGTGAGTGTCTGGATTTGTTTAGTAAGAGCCATTTGGTTTTCTGCAGAAAAGATAAGCAAACAGGCCAGAAAAAGCAGCACGCTCATTCAGACCAGCAGCCACTCTGAAAGCCATTATGAAGCAGAATCATCCCATCTGGAGTTTAGAGTAGGCTTATTGTCAGTACACACAGTAGTAACTAACCACGTCTCTGGCTGTTTATTCTATGTGCTTATTTCAGAGAATGGGAAAGTGGCCGTGGAGTACAATTCCACCCAAGAGGAGCTCACAGACTCCTTAACAGAAGATGAACTGAAGGGGCTCATTCAGGTAAAACCAGTGGATATTTAGCTTTGGCACAGGACCTGTGTGTTACATCTAGGGATTGGAGATACAGCTGTTAACTGTTACAGCCTCTGACACCCTCCTTTTATGCAGCAATCACCTTGACTTAAATTCTAGGAAGTAATTACATCTTGGAATTGTACAGCACGCTAAGGTTTTAAAACTCCTACTTTTTTAGGTATCTTTGTGCAGAAACACATGAATATTTTAGATGGCACAGGAAAGCGAGCGGTTAGGGTACAGGGCTGCTACAGTGCAGGGTGACAAGTCCGACCTATGACAGTGTCCAGACTGCTCTTCATAGAATCTGAGAGAGGGAAAATCCCAGTAAAGTCACAGTAGGTTAAATCAAATGATTTTTTTAAAAGTTCTTAAATAAATCAAACTCCGCATCTCGAAACGCACTTCATAAACTTATCCTTACCCCGGAGGGAATGGTTGTTAAAAGCTTGGGTGAAGTAAAAGCTTTGGTGAAATCCTTGCAGGTAATTGCGGGATCTCTTTGCATGCCCCGAGCAAAAACACCCAGGTACAACAGTAAAACTTTAATCACCATGCTCAGTGAGATGAGTTGTGCCAGCTTCTGCACGCAGCCAGTCCTGAGCAGAGGGTTTTCATCTCGCTTCGTTTGAAAACACTGCTGCTTACCAGGTGGGATCACGGATGCTGTGGCCTTTTGCAGGCGAGCGTCACTCTCACGTGATGCATCGGCACCGTGCTGCGCAGTGTCTGACTCCTGCAGCATGCGTGGAGGAAGTGCCCAACAAACCTTGTGCCACATTATTCCATTTGGTGACTCTGAGTCACCTGGTGTCCACCGGCAGAACTATCTTCCTTTCTCACTGAAGAGCAGGAGTAAAGCAGGAGGTGTTTTGGAGTGTGAAGTAATGTCCGTCAGATTTTGGTTTTTTAATCAGTTGAGAAGATGAAATTTCTGCTGGTTTGTTCTCTCTCTGCGTTTTGTTCTGCGTAGCCCCTTCTATCTGACCTGTTTTAAACCCGCAGAGAACTGATGTAACGTGCAATGACCATAAGAGAAGTGTGCAGCGAAGTCAAACAGAAAGCCTGCTGCTTCTCAAACCTCTGTTTCACCGGAGGAGCCATCCCTCACCTCCCCTGCCATCTCACTTCCCTTATGATGGTGTGTGGGAGGTAATTCGGTGCTCGCTCTCCCCAAGACCTTCCAGCCTGATAGGAAGAGGAACAGACAGGAATTCAGAGGACTTGCTTGGGAGGAGCGCTGCTGGGTGTCCTTTTGGTTCATTGCCTTGTGATGTCGGTCAGTCTTTCCAAAACAGAAATGTTCCTGAGTTGGTAAATTCCAGAGAGGCTGTCTCTTGTACGTGGTAAAAATATATTGTTTCCAGGTGCAGAGAGGTGAAGCTAAAATATGTTGCAAAGAAATAAATTTCCTCCTGATTTCTCTTCCCAGGTCAATGAATTGTCTTTGGAACAGTTTGACCTCGAAGAAGAAGTTTTGTCTGATCTCAGTTTCGATGAGGAGCTCCCTAGCTGGGAGATGCCATCTAATTAATGCAGCTCTGTCTTCACGTCGTTTCCCAAAGTTCTGCGGTGTTTGATTAGGAGTGAAAGCCTCGCGCTGTGAAATGACATGTGCGTCACAGCCGATGTTTTCTTTTTCTCCAAATACGTAACAGCAAAAGAAATGGGCAAGAAACCCAGTGTTACTAAAATTAAGCCCAAAAATGCATGCTGTTTTTGGAGAGGAAGTGTTTTCCTGTCAATTTATCCAGGTCAGCTATATATGGAAGCCATCTTAGCTGCACGGTTATTATTTAGACAGCGTAACAGATGTGCGTAGCACTTACAGACAAATAAAAGGAGCGAGCCCTCCCCGCAAGAGCGTACGGTTCAGGTTCATTCCCATCTGCAGGAGAAAGCCAGAGACAGCAGAAGGAGACGTCTTACCAGCAGGAGTAGCTGTGGTACTTACACATGTCTGCACAGGCACAGAAAAACACCCTTTCTCTTGGATTCTCTTGAAGTTTCTTTTAAAGAAATTTCCATTTCTTTCTTTTAAGGAGATTTCTTTTAAGGTCATTTCTTTAAGTCTTGTAATAATGTGTTGTGCCACGTGGGTTGAGCCCCAGCGACAAGTAGTTGGGATGTTATCGCGATGTAAAGCGAAGATTCTTTCTAATTTCAAAAACATTTTTCATTAAATTATGTAAAATGTTTTAACTCCATGTGATGAATGAACCTCAGAGGCAGCACAAGCACTGGGAAGGGGCGTCAAGCTCCCCGGATCACAAGGCAGGGTGGGAGGAATGCTTATTTGATAACGGATCCCCGCTCAGATTTTTTGACCTCTGTCTTTGGAGAGAAAAATAAAAAAAGATGACTGAAAAATAGGAGAGCTCAGGGATGATTGAGATTCCTCTTGAAATGAGAGGAGCGTGGCCTGTTTAATTTCATTTTAAAAAGAGAGGAAAGGGGCGAAAGGAGACCAAGGGGGGACCTCATTAATGTTTATAAACATGAAAAGGGTGACTGCCATGAGGATGGAGCCAGGCTCTTCTCAGTGGCATCCAATGACAGGACAAGGGGAAATGGATACAAGCTGGAACACAGGAGCTTCCGCTTAAACATGAGGAAGAACTTCCCAGTAAGGGGAACAGAACACTGGAACAGGCTGCCCAGAGAGGTTGTGGAGTCTCCTTCTCTGGAGATGTTCCAAACCCGCCTGGACGCGTTCTGGTGTGATCTGATCTAGGTGGTCCTGCTCCGGCAGGGGGATTGGACTAGATGATCCTTTGAGGTCCCTTCCAATCCCTGACACTCTGTCATTCTGTGATTTGCTCCAGCAGAAGATGCCTGATACTGGGTGAGCTTTTTAAGTGGGAAAGCGCAGGCGAAACGTAGTCCAGTGGCCAGACACTGGATTTAAAGAACTCCAACTGGGAAGCAGCGTTTCACAAGGGGGGTGCTGAAGGGGGTGAACGTCCCTCGTGGGGTGCAGGAAATGCCCAGAAAGCCAACCGTGTCCTTGGCTGCATCAAAAGAAGTGTGGCCAGCAGGTCGAGGGAGGGGATTCTGCCCCTCTGCTCTGCTCTGGTGAGACCCCACCTGGAATACTGCGTTCAGCTCTGGAGTCCCCAGCACAAGAAGGACATGGAGCTGCTGGAGCGAGTCCAGAGGAGGCCACCAAGGTGATCTGAGAGCTGGAGCACCTCTGCTACGGAGACAGGCTGAGAGTTGGGGCTGTTCAGCCTGGAGAAGAGAAGGCTCCAGGGTGATCTTATTGCAGCCTTCCAGTACCTAAAGGGGCTACAGGAAAGCTGGGGAGGGGCTTTTTACAAGGGCGTGTAGTGACAGGACACGGGGCAATGGCTTTAAACTGAAAGAGGGGAGATTTCGATGGGATCTAAGGAATCCTCCCTCTGAGGGTGATGAGGCACTGGCACAGGTTGCCCAGAGAAGTTGTGGCTGACCCATCCCTGGAAGTGTTCAAGGCCATGTTGGATGGGGCTTTGAGCAAGCCGGTGCAGTGGAAGGTGTCCCTGCCCATGGCAGGGGGTTGGCACTGGATGATCTCCTTGGTCTCTTCCAACCCAAACCGTTCCGTGATTCTAATTCCTCCGCACGGCGAGCTCCCGGCCGGGGGCCGTGTTTCTGTGGCACGACGCGTTCTCCCGGCGAGGGACCGTTCCGGAGCCGCCCCGGGCCGCGCGGAGGGGCCGCGGGGCTG